TTTTTTCCAATAGTTATTAGGCCTCATTCACAAACAGTTCTTCGGAAAAAATGTGTACGTAAATCCTACTTACGAGGATTTTACGAAGATTGTGGCATTCATGAAATGTTCTCGTAACCAGAATTATTCCTGGGTAAGTACAAATCCTACGAGTGCTCAGGAGCCTCTTAAGCACATTCAGTGCCAACATGTTCGCATACTGGTGTTGTCTTCTTTTGTGAAGTTCAATAAAATACAACATTACAGTGATATGTCTGTCTTAATGATGTATTTATTTATCTATTTCATTGTTTATGGTAATTTAGCCTATTTTTTTATTCATTTTTAAATTAAATGTGCCAACACTATAAAATACAGTGGAAATCATGCTGTCTCTTAGTGACCCCATCCTAGGGTACATTTCTCCATGAACGGGCCACAAAACAATGGCAGTATACTGCTGCTGCAGGAGGTTGAGGGGTCTGCGCCGAGTCTCTCCCATGGATCTATTACGGGTTGCGCTGGATCTCCTCCCAGGGTCCAAAATATTTTGAGATTATCTCATAATTTTTTTAGATTCATATTTAAATTAGTACATTTTTATTTTATTCAGGGTCCTCTGCTGAGGGCCGTCCGGTCCCTGTATGACTGGAGCCAGAGCTGTGTTCGCATCAGCAGTAAGTCAGACCTGTTACTGGGTGCGTGTTGGCCTCCTCCAAGGCTGCCCTCCAAGCCTTGGCCTTTCTGTTCACTGTGTTTATGGACAGAATTTCTAGGCGCAGCCAGGGGCTGGAGAGGATCCGGTTCGGAGACCACAGGATTTCATCTCTGCTGTTTGTGGACAATGTTGTCCTGTTGGCTCCAACGAACCAGGACCTGCAGCATGCACTGGGACGGTTTGCAGCCGAGTGTGAAACGGCTGGGATGAGAATCAGCACCTCCAAATCTGAGGCCATGGTGCTCGACCGGAAAAAGGTGCCCTGCCCTCTCCAGGTCCTGGTCCTCTCCGGGTGGTAGGGTTGGGCACCGAGAACCGGTTCCTATTTGGAACCGGTTCCTAAAGTGCGGTTCCGGAACCGTTAAGAAGACGTTTGTATTTTGATTCTTTTTTCGATTCCTAAATGCCGGATGCGGCCCGCACAGCGGCGTCGGAAGCGTTTGGAAGGTGGGGGGGGGACATGTTTCAAAAATGCTTAGCAGCTGTCCACCCAGCGTAATAAAGCCAGGGCTTTATTACGCTTTGTGAAAAACTCAGTGAATTAAGCTCTTATGAGACGGCGCGCTTGTGTTTGCATCCACATTTAGCTTCAGCCACACCCTCCTGCCATCGCAAAGAAACCTCTCAACGCTTTTATCTTCACATTTTCCACAAACGCAGATAAAACTGAGTCAAGGGGTAAAGGAAGCAAACATTTATCCGTCAAATGACTAATTCAGATATTATTTGGTTAAGTTAGAGTCCAGACAGCGAGGTTTAACGGGCGTATTGACCGGTTGAACACTCGTGCTAGCCCGGTGCAGTTTCCCCAAACTCACGCTACATCAGTTTCATCACTCGCTTTACAAAAACATCCAAAACTGATGTTCCTTACCTTAAAGTTACTGGTCAGGCCCTTTGTAATGATGAAGAAGGGAAACACGCTGTCCACCTGCCGAGGACCGCAAAAAGTCCTGCTCCTCCTCCATGTAATAATCCGTAAAAAACTCCGAAAACACGATGCACGAGTCCTTGTGCTTTGGTCAAATCTGTCAGTCCGTCCAACGATAATCCTCCAGTATTCTCACTTTAGCCGTTTTTCAGCGGTTTACAGAGACGTGTTTACATTTCAGCCGCTCTGAGATGATGGTGGGCGGTGCCACATAAACACCGCTAAGCAAAGCGGAGCGTACGGTGTGTGTGTGTGTGTTCGTGTTCCTTGTTTTTTAATTTAATTTGTTTTTATGTAAAGCACTTTCTGTTGCCTTATGGCAGGAAAAGTAATTATGAAATAAAATTTGATAAAAAATTATGTTTTTTTTTTCTCTCCTGCACCTCAAAGAATTGGAATCGAGAATCGTTTAGAACAGGAATCGATAGTGAGAATCGGAACCGGAATCGGAAAATTGCAAACGATGCCCAACCCTAGTCGAGAGGTCCTTCCTCGAGTGGAGGAGTTCAAGTATCTCTGGGTCTTGTTCACGAGTGAGGGAAGGATGGAGCGTGAGATTGACAGGCGGATCGGTGCAGCGTGCGCAGTGATGCGATCGCTGTATCGGACCGTTGTGGTAAAGAGGGAGCTGAGCCGAAAGGCAAAGCTCTCGATTTACCGGTCAATCTTCGTTCCCTCCCTCACCTATGGTCATGAGCTTTGGGTAATGACCGAAAGAACGAGATCGCGGATACAAACAGTCGAAATGAGCTTCCTTCGCAGAGTGGCTGGGCGCTCCCTTAGAGATAGGGTGAGGAGCTCAGTCACACGGGAGGAGCTCTGTGTAGAGCCAGGACACGCTGGAGGGACTATGTCTCTCAGCTGGCCTGGGAACGCCTTGGGGTCCCCCCGGATTAGCTGGAGGAAGTGTGTGTGGATAGGGAAGTCTGGGCGTCTCTGACTGCTGCCCCCGCGACCCGGCAACGGATGAAGCGGAAGAAAATGGATGGATAATATTTTGAGATTAATATTTTATTACATAATATATTTAAATTAATCTCATCATATTTGGGGCGACAGTAGCTCAGTTGGTAAAGCATTGGCCTTTGGGCCTGGAGGTCGTGAGTTCGAATCCCACCATGGGACCTACTCCAACTGCTCCCACTGATGACTGCTGTCGTTGTGTCCTTGGGCAAGACACTTAACCCCACGTTGCCTGAAGCCCCCGCTGAAAGATCAAGGCTGTATCACAACTGATGGAGCAGCCATCTTCCTGTGGACTCACCCCCTGCAGAGGATCAGTGAGGGACTGGTGCGATGAGCATTGGGTGGCAGCTCTCATTGCCACCCCCCCGACCCAGAAATGGACTAATAAAGGGGTTGAAAATGAAATGAAATGAAAATATTTTTTGATTAATCCCATTATTCTGCTAGTTTTCTCATATTATTTTGATTGTAAAATCAAAATGTTATGACTTTAATGCAATCTGGCAAAAAAAGAAAAAAGGGTGACTCTTTTGCTATGTTTCTGTTTCCTCTGGCGTCTGCACACGGCCCTGCAGTCCCTTATATGGGCATTAATGGGCGGTTACCTATGCTAAGTACCTATGCTAATGAAGCACCTGGCACGCACGTTTTCCTTACGAGGAGTTGGCATTCATCAATCTTAGAACAGCTGCGAACAATTCAGCGGCTTACGAGCGCGTTGATGAATCCCACGTAGGGTCTTCTTAGAAATGTACTTAAGAACGACTTAAGAAATTTAGGAAGATTCTTAAGAATATTTTGGTGAATGAGGCCCAATGTCTTTATTGAGTTTGGTGAAAGAAAATACATCATCACTTACATTTTCGTTTGACTAAGTCCCATTTCCCATTTTAAAACAAATATGTTTTTTTAGATTTTCAATGTGCTGTCAAAAACCCAGTAGCAATCACAGTAGAATCTACGGCGTTGTCTTTGTTTTCTTACGTCCTCCAGACAAGGTTAAATTCCACCAAATCTGTAAAATGAGTCATCCATGTTTTTTGTGTGTGTTTTTTTTATGAAATAGGAAATGAAAAGGATTAAAAGGATATTAAAAAGCAAAGCAAGGACAGAGCAGCAAGAAAGCGTCTGCACACTCACACAAGCTTTTAATGCTAATTCTTACTTAACTGTTAGAGTGGTGATGTTGGAGCTTTTGCTAATAAACCCTCACACTGGAACAGTTCAGATGAGCAAAAACATTTAAAACAAATTATGTCTATACCCTCACCCACTGCTCTTATTTTGACCAAAATTGGATCAGTTTTGTAAAATGATTACATGGGATGGACATGGGCAAAGTTCTCTGTTCATTTCAATAAAAACTCTTTAATGCTTGGCTAATTGACCTGTGTGGTGAACACGACCGAAAACCAGGCAGGATATCAAACAATGTTCCTACAAAACATCATTTTTTCTTGTTTCTTTTTTTTTTAGAACTCTCTGGATCCACCAACTGACATGGAGCACTGGACGAAAGAACAAGTCCGAGACTGGGCTCTCACACTTGAAGGTGTAGACGACAAAACTGCTAGAACATTGTTTGAGCAGGATATTACAGGACCGAGTCTCATGCTTTTAAAGACGCAAGATTTGAAAGACTTAGGAGTCACATTTGGCCCATTAAAAGTTCTCATTCATTCCAGAGATGAAATTGTCAAGTTACAAAAAGAGCAACTTGAGACTTCTGGTCCCTGTACCGAGCGGTCATGCAAACCATATCCCTTCAACAGCTACCATGATACATACAGATATATAGAAGGAAGTATTCTGGATGTAACGGAATCTGGGCCCTCAGATTTTGTAGAACCATGTCATGAATACAAAGCTTTTACAAACACTACTGAGGAAACTAAAATGAGCAAGTTCATATCCGAGGTTATCCGCTTTGCAGCTGCTTGTATGAACAGTCGCACAAACGGAACAATCCATTTTGGAATAGGGGATGTGCCAACTTTCACACATGGTCAAGTGCTAGGTGTGCCTGTGGACAAAGATAGAGAGGTATATGACAGAACTTTAAGACGTGCTATTAAGGAGTGCTTTGAATTCAAGCATCGAGAGACAGCGAGCATTTGCATCAAACCGACTCGATTTGTTAGTGTACTTAACACAAATGTGACATCATCAGAAAAGTTTGTGATTGAGGTGGATATAGTCCCTGATTCCACATTATGTAAGGAAGACGTCTATCACACACACAACTGTATCAAAAATAAGAATAAAAATAAATCTGAAGATCTGAAGCAGTTTTTTATCCGAGAGGGGGGAACCAGTCGAAACCTCCTGGCTCAAACTACAAGCTCCAAACCAATGCAAGAGTATAATAAATTTGTTGCTAATGTACCCCAGTTAGCAAAACTCCGAATGGAGTCGGAGGAGAAACATCGGCGTCTGGTTAAAAGCCTCAAGCAAGGCTCTAAGCTGTGCGAGATGATCACTGGGGGTTCTGGCTCTTTGGACAGGTCTTCCTATGAGCACTACATAATAGTGACCAATAAATCCCACCCCATTCAGTTGGACTCAATCCTCTTCCTTATAGAACTCAATCCAACTGCAGTGCTGGACTTTGATCCCCAGTCATTGCAAAATGGGCTATGTATGTGCTTTGAAATGAAAAGTCCTCTTAATCGCCATTTACCTGACCAATATGAAATCACAGAATCCGCTGAGGACATTGCAAAAAAATTGCAGCTAACTCGAAGTACTAGCTGGGTGTTCTGCAATGGAGGAAATGGTCATGAACCTTCAGAGATTAATCTCTGGTTGATGGACAAAGGAGCTTCTGTTCGAAAAGTGATATCCTTTCTATGTCGAAAAGACGTTCTACGCAGCAAGAAGTTTCTTGTTATATTTTTACTAATGTCAGAGGTAAATGACAAAATGGATCCTTTGATTGAGACCTTCTGTATGTTTTATCAGGAGCTCAAGGGCACAAAGCAGATTCTTTGTATTAATAACAATGAAAATGCATTTACTTCCTGGAAAAACTTGATTGAAGCTCGCTGTGAGGTGGACATCTCCAGTAGAAGCATCTATGAGCTCAGCTTTGCAGAGGTCAATGGCACCATCCTTAGCCTTCTGTCAGAGAACCGTAGAATGAGCCGCTTTCTCCCAGCACCTGGAGGAGGCAGAGTTCTTCTGGAAAAGAAAGTGGAACGTGAGCTCACTACACTTGATGTTCTGTGTGTAAACCAGTGTGAAGGAGGAAATGAGAACCAAGACACCATTGAGCAGAACTTCTACAGAGGAGGAGAAGTGTCCTGGTGGAATTTCTATTTCTCTGAGCAGCCTGGATCCATGCGATTCATTGAAAGGGACAAATTAGACTACATAGTTGACACACTCATCCCAGGCTTATGCTCTTTGAGAAAAGGCTGCGTCCTCTTGAACCTCTTACATGAAGCTGGATGTGGTGGCACTACTCTGGCCAAGCATACTCTGTGGATTCGCAAGAAAAAAAACCGCTGTGCTGTGCTTGTTGACAGACAACCAGACCTTGTTACCGTGGCAAAACATGTGGTCACACTCCTGAAGTGCGGCTGTAAAGAACGGGAACCTCCACTGCTGGTCCTGCTGATGATAGATGATTTTGAAGACATGGACAGGGTCTTCAAGTTACAACAGCTCATTGAGGAAGAGCTGTCCATTGAGGAAGTCCAGTCCAGGTCTCCACAGGTGATCCTCCTCAACTGTATGAGGTCTGAACACACCTCTGGACCATTTGATCCAACTGAAGACACTGTATTTATTGGGAACAAACTCACCGAAAATGAACAGAGATGGTTTGAACAAAAACTTGAAGAAATGGGTAAAATCTTCACTGAGACTAAGACTAAGACTTTTTATGGATTCATGGTCATGAAAAGCAACTTCAACGCAGAGTACATTCAAAGCATTGTGCATAACACCTTAAAAAGTTTCAATATGAGAGAAAAACATGCACAGCTTTTAGCAATTTTGGTACTTATCAGTGCTTACTGGAAGGATGCAGCTCTGTCTGTCTCTTTGTGCGAGGAATATCTTAGTTTGCAACCTATGCCATATAAAGGAGACAGTGAAGAGGTTGAAGAGGGATTCCAAGAGTTTTCATCTCTAGTCCAGTCATGTGACATAAGATCTGAGGTTTTGTTTAAAGGTATTCAAGTGATCCATTCGCAGATTGCACTGCAGTGTTTGAAGGAGATTTGTTTAAAACAAGTCACAAAAGCTGAAATTGTAAACTTAATTTTGACAAATGACGAGCTTCATAACTGCACACAAGGTAAAAAAAAGCTCTCGCAGGATCTTCACAACATTTTAGTCAAAAGGAACCCTCTTGAGCAAGAAGCTCGTTTTCAGCCTTCTATTCTTGCAAGTTCCAAATCTGACAGCTGTACAGAACCGGATGCTGGCCTTCTGAGGGACAATGAGGATAAAACCATTGAATCTCGATTTTCACCCCTCATACGTGACATTGAAAGTGAAACACCAGGACTTGAAGAGGGTGTTCTTAGACATGCTTCGCAGAGGTTTCAAAAGGATGCTGTTATTGCTCAGTTACTATCTCGGTACTATTACCTCAGAAAGAAAGATTTTATTGAGGCTAAAATCTGGGCGAAAAAGTCCAAATGTTTATCACAAAACAACTCATATATTTCTGACACCTTAGCCCAGATTATGAAGCATGAACTTAAAGATATCACAAAGGAAAAGTCCCCCATTGACTCTGCAATGCTACAAAGACTTTTGAAACTGGCCAAAGATGCACGGAATGCATTCATAGAAATACAACAACTTGCAAAGCAAGAGTCATTGCAAAGGTTACAGACCAAACGAGACTATCGTCCTCTGAATACATCTGGATTCCTGGGGGAGATCCAAGTGTATGTATGCATAATAGAAGTTCTTCAAAAGATCCCTCTATTCTCTTCTGGCATGGTTCGTCACGACCTTTTGTGCTCAATGCTTTCTGGAGGAACAAAACTTGATGACATAAAAAAAATGACCCTGAATATGAGAAAAATGTACAATTCTACAAAGTTCTTTCTGAGTTTGCGGACATGCTGTACAAGCTCAAGTACATGATGAAATGTAATTTTGATTTCCTTGACAAATTCAATATTAACCTGGGATCAAAATTTGGGATGAAAAAAAACCATGACCTAATTACCAAGAGGGAGTTCTCAAGATGCTTTGGGAAATATGCAGAACTTTTCTGTTGGACTGAATCAGAACCGTTACTCAACAGAAGCCATAGCAGAGAGCTGAACCTATTGAAGGCCAGGCAGTTCATTGAGAGGAACAAGGTCAATACATACTCTGGGATTTTGAATTGTCTTTCAAACAACATGGATCCTAAAACCCTGGCAGAAATTGTGAGTGCACACATACATATTTACACCTCTCGCATGTGCACTCCTGTTGGAAAAACTCAACTACATCTACATGAATGTGGTGCTGAGTTGTATCAATTTGGCATTAATAGTTGAGCCATTTCCATTACTGGTCCAAATTCTTTGTGAATATCTTGCACATCCGATGTCGAAGCCTGATTTGCCTCTCTGTTTCATAGCAGTTCTACTGTTATGGCCGTGGCAACAGCGAGAGTTAAACCACAATAAAAGTGCTGACCTGCGGACTCATATCTCAAATTTGAAGACTGCTTTTCACACTGAGATGAAACAAATATACAATGGGAAGAAGGCCATTGTCCATTTCTTCTTAGGGAAAAAGCATGGTTATGAACGCATAGTGCCTCTAGAGGAAGTGATAAAACATTGCAAGGCTGGGGAGCATTTTGCTTCCAATTGGGAAAACGGAGTCTTGTGGAAAGATCCTAATGTTCAACAGCTTCTTTGCAGAGTAACCGGGGAAGTGAAATCCCGAAACATTCTGATCCCTACTAGCATTCCTGATCTGATTATTGAAGTTGCACCTCAATTCCCAAGTCAACTGCGAGGCTACAGAGAGGGCTCCATAGTATCGTTCTTCATCGGCTTTTCAATGCAGGGGCCCCTGGCAATTGACATCAACCAATACAAATATTGAACAATACTAGCGTCATGTCACTGTGTTGTCAAATAGTTCCAATGTCTTATAAAAGTAATGATAATAATGCATTGGTATGTGTTATGTATTGATTACAACAGTAGGGACTACTTTCTCTCGAGTATACGCACAGCGCATATGTAACGAGTACGCGGGTAGCGTACTGATATCTTGTACTTTGAATGACACCTGTCAAGTAAAGACGTTACTGAAGTCACCGGAGTTTTCTGTATGTTCTTCTTAAAAGTTATGTAAGAGACAAACATAACAGTATGCATTATCATTATTCATTCGCTCCATACACAGTGGTGGAAAAAATGATATATAAAGCAAAGATAGCCACATCTGCCCTGGGACACACTGACAAAAGGCAACCAGTTTGTGCCATCGGTCTCTCTTGCCTAAGGACACAGCAGCACTTTACAGCACTGTGGCACCTGACGTTCCTAGAGGTCTTCCATTTATTAACCTTTATGGACAGTGGTCAGCCCGCTCCCTATTGACCAATAACTCCTTTGTGTTTGTTATTATTGCATTTATTGTGTTTAAACTGTTGTATTCTCTTATCTGTGTTGATGAATTGACTTTGTAAACTCCAGGGCGATTGCTGTATGAAAATCAACTGAATTGAGTTTTAGCCAGGCACCACAATGAATGTTGAATCTTTTCCCAGTATAATAACTACTTAAGATTACTTTATTGAGTAGATTTTACAACATTGTTCCTCACCTAAAACAGACCTGGAGTGTTTTTTAGATCCATCCACGCTAATATCAGGCACTTCTGGCACAAACCTGTAAGCTCTGCCTCATGCCACTTTCATAGGACCACTATGACATCATGCTCAGTTTTCCCATACATTTGTTTTGGTAATTTTTCCGGGGATGTTATGTTAATTATAATCACATGGCTACAAATGTAACCCCTGCAGATAGCATTTTATATTGTTGATACGTGTTTTGGCAAATGTTTTCACATTAAAAATACTTTTTACAGTAATTTCCTGTTTAATAATCTTAAAAATCATGCATAATATTTCTAGAAAATGATTGATTATAATCTGTATGTTATCACCTGACTTCTGATCACATATAAATGTCTGTAAATGCAATTGTAACCGGCTGGTGGTGTCGTTTTTAATCCGACTATCATACAGTACCAGCAACGCCATTAAAATGAAAGCACACAGGTAAGTATTATGGAAAAGACTGAGGCAGATTAACATTTACTTTTTCTTTATTTATACTAAACCTGGTAAATGGTTTAGATATTGAGTATAGCAATTAGATTTAGTCCATGTTGACAAAGTGGCACACAATTCAAGCCACCACAGATCTCAGCTTGGATAAAGGGAAAACAAAAAAAGGCAAGGCGGCCGCTCCTCTCCTCAGCACCAGCAAGATATCTATGGTAGATGCAATAGTTTAAATACTATAAAAATAACAGTTTTTGTAGTATAGTATTTTTAATGTCTCACCATTAAAGCAGCAGGGCAGGTAAAGTGCACGAGGCTGACGCACCCTCCACACCTGCACTGAACAGGAGCTGCGGCGGGATGCCAGACATCCCCATCTTACAGGGCTAATATATATAAAAAAGGAACGATTAGCTAAACGCCAGATTCTAAAAGTAACAAACGAACACTGTACCTGTTGAGCAACACGGAGGTTCACGACAACGAATGTGGCAGTACGGGGCCACAAGGGGGCGGTAGTGTGCAAAGCCATTGGCCTGCACTCTTCCTGGTCCGAAGAAGCACAGAAAAAACAAGGCAGATCCATGTGCAAAGCATTAAAGCGGGCGAGATTAGGGAGCACTCAGCTCTGTAGAGAAACCAGGTCTCCCAAGAGGATAACAGAATGTTTACATTTGATGAAATAATTTGTCTTAAAAAATGGTTCTTGTGTAGTGGGCAAATACTGAAGAGATGCTGTTAAAGCTGAGGCATGTACCTTTTTATTCATATACTACCGTTTTCCATGAAAACTCACCATACGTTGTGAAATGAATAGAAAATAGAGGCAAGACATTGACAAGGTTAGAAATGATTTGTATTTGAAATAAGATTTGTTTTACATCCAACTATGCTTTCGTCAAAGAATCACAGAATTACAACATTGCACCAAAAACCAGACAATTGCAGCTAGAATAGTCATTTACCACATAAGCAATGTATAGAGTGTATTTCTTTACAGTTAAGACTAGTTTAAAGTTATCTACAGTGCTTTTCCTTAAAAACTAAGGACATTTCAATGTGACCACAAACTTTTGAACGGTAGTGTACATACTGAATAGTTTTCCTCTGGGTGCTCTGGTTTCCCCTACCACTTAAAAACTTGCACAATAGGTAAATCCTCCGGCTCTGGCAGCATTAGCCCAGCAGACACCACTGGAAACAGCGAACAATAGCACGGTGATTCAGACGGGGTTTGAGGCATCACGGCGAAATAAAGCTCATAAGGCACATCAGCTTCCCCTCGACGCACTGGAGATTCATGACACTCCAAAACAATCAGTGAAAAACTGAAGCAGGACTATAAAAACAACCAGAGCGGTTATGGCTGTAAAATAAACAAATGGGTTTGGCGTAATGAGTTTTGCTTACGCGGCAATCAAAACTTATGACGTCGAGTGGTCTCACTCGGCGACTGGAGACACGGATACTGAGAGAACCGAGGGAAAGGAAGGTTGCACCCCGCTCCTTTTACCAGGAACTCCTGCTGTGGAAATGCGGCTATTTCTTTATTTTTACTATTATTTAATATTAAGTTGAGTGGCATGACCGCCATGTGAAAGCCTGAATCCAGACCTCTGAAGCTAAGAAGGGCAGGGTCGGGTTAGTATTGTGATGTGAGACCTCTGGGAACAGCAGGTGCCACAGTGGGGCAGCTGTAAAGTGCCAAACTGTTGTTGTGTCCTTAGGCACAGAATTTTTGAGTTGAAGGCATCAACTTAGTTCTCCAAAACATGAAAAATTAACTAATAATTAAGTTGTGTCAGCTAGGTTTTTCAAGTTCTGCCAACTACGTTTTTTAAATTCAAGTTACTGGAACTTTCGAGTCTGTAAAAACTTACTATTTTGAGTTTAAATTACCTCCCACATTAAATCATCCACATTAAAGCTGCACTAACTGATTTTGGGATTTTAAAGCCGCAGACTCGCTGGCCTCTCTCTTTCTGCTCCCCTCCCCGCACCCACGAAGCTATCGCCCCCCACACACACACTCACTGTTGGGACGGGGCTAGTGTCTCCCAATATGGATAATACATGGACATGGATTTGCACGTGGATGGCGTGACCATAGAACGATAGAACCGGGAAGCACGGAGGAACGAGACTTTCTTTTGGATGGCTGTTTCGCTGTGTAAGCAGTAACCGGTGACGAAGACGAGGAAACTTCAGGTTAGCTCCTCATCTTGTTGTGCTAACTCAGCTGTCTGTGCTAACGGACCTGTAGATTTCTCACGAAAGTGGGGGCTAGTGGTTCGCTGTGATTGGTCACAATCTGCGACCCGAAACACATTCTCTTCCTTGTTTCATCAAAACTCGATCTAAAATATAATGTCACGCCAGCACAAACCTGCACTACTTTTTCTTCAAAAGGACGTATATTCCAATGCCCTACACGGACATGGATAGCATTTTAGTAATTAATACAAAAATAAAGTCAGTTAGTGCAGCTTTAAACCAGTTAATTTCCATCCATTTCAATGATCCTCCTGCAGGTGGTAGTCCACAGTAGCTGAGATTTTTCAGCGGGGGCTTCAGGCAAAGTGGGGTTAAGTGTCTTGCCCAAGGCGATGGCAGCAGTCATCAGTGGGAGTCATGAAGTAGATCTTGTGGAGAGCTGGAACCCGTCGTGGTTCCAGTCAGGCTTTAAGGCCTTAGTGGCTCTATACCAACTGAGCCACTAATAATAATAATGCATCAGTTTCATATAGCGATTTTTTGGACACTCAAAAGACGCTTTACATGTCATTATTCTTTCACTCCAAACACAGTGGTGATAAACTACTACGGTAGCCACAGCTGCCCTGGGGCACACTGACAGAAGCGAGGCAACCAGTCTGTGCCATCTGCCCCTCCCACCACCACCACCATTCATACACACAACAGACTCGTTCTAGGCAATGGGGGTGTGCCTAAGGACACAACCACAGATTGGCACTTTACAGCCGCAGCCGCCCCACTGTGGCTGGTGTTCCCAGAGGTTAAGTGTCTTGCCAAGGACACAATGACAGCAGGAGTTGGTGGTGAAAGTCAGGCTCGAACCCACAACCTTCAGGCTCTAAGGCCAATGCTATACCAACTGAGCCACTGGCACAGTCTTATGCCCAAAGCAAATCAGGTTTCAGTATATGGGCAGTATTTTTATTTATTTTTACTTTCTGACTCCTGTTGAGATCTTACAAATAATGCAATATTGCCAAAGATGACAGAAAACAGCTAAATGCCTAAGGGTACTTTCACACCTGCACCATTTAGTCCACTTAAAGCAGACTGGAGTCTGGAACACCTGCAAGTACAGTTCGTTTGAGCAGGTGTGAAAGTGGACCAGTTAAATTTGGTCCGGACTAAAGAACCGCACCGAGACCACCATATGGAGCTGGTCTCGGTGCGGTTCCATGTGGACTCCAGTCTGGTTCGCTGCTGGTGAGAACGCAGACCGGCCTCATTATGGCCCTGCTCTGTTGCGTAGCTCACTTTTTGACACACACAATTGTTTTTTTATATGATAGAATCGTCAAAAACACCCGCAGATTGTTCTCGTGCTGAATCCGCGATACATACTGGAACACCAGTATTTGTTCTGCACAAAACAACAATGATAAAAAATAGCCAAAAAACGCAGAGTAGCACAGTCACATACGTCATCCAATACACAGTATTTTGTAAACAGCGCCACCACATGGGTGGCGGAATATGTAACATCTACAGTGGTTGGTTCATTTGCAAAAACACTGGTGTGAATGAGAACCGAACTAGTTGAGAACTGCAACATTGTAACAACTTTAGGGCCCAAGCGAACCACTTTAGTGGACCAACAGGTGTGAAAGCACCCTCAGTGTGTAGATCCACAGCTGAAAATGGCATTTATCTCAACCTCACTTTAAACATAGCCAAAAAAGCAAACATGCAGGCTATAACAGTGGCACAACTTAATAATTGTAGTTCTTCAAAACGTAAACAATGAGATGCCTTCAACTCAAAAATTCTGTGCAGTCAATCGCCTTGAAATTTTGAGTTGAACTAACTTTTTCTTTTTTACAGCGTGAACAATCAATACCCAAGTCTCTTGACAGTTATGACGCTACAAATAAAGAAATGGATTAAGAGGAAGAAAATGAATCAAAGCCGCAAGCGGGGCGTCAAATGGCCCTCGCCACACCGCGCAACTCCCCGCAGTGAGCCTACCGCACCAATGACAAAAAAAAAGGTCACATTTTGCCGCTCCGCTGCTCAATGTTTCACTGATCAAAATTCCCCAAAGTCATTTTGAAGGTACATATGTTTAGACAATGTGGAGCAATTTTGAGGCGAATCGGTGAAACGGCCGAGGAGGAGTCGCTTTCCAACCGACATGTATGATTGCTGTTAATTTTTCCATTTTGCAGTGAATTTTATGGGCCTCCTGTTTGTCAGAGGGCGGAGCCATGATAACATTTCGGTCGTATCTTGACTTGAGGAACATGTGTACCGAATTTCATGGCTCTACGACAAACTTGACCTCTGAAACTCCCATTGGCTGTTGTAGGTGGCGCTGTTCTGGCATTTTTTGAGTCCCATAAAAATAAACACCAAAATATCAAATTTTTCACCAGGTCTGATGTTTGGCCAAAATTTTGCAACTTTTCATGCATGTTCAGGGGGTGAAGTTAAGGCTCAAAGTGCAGAATTTGACATCTCTCGAGCAAAAACAATAGGCCCTTTCCCCGCTCGGGGCTTGGGCCTAAAAATAAAGCCGCAAGCGGCGTCAAACTGCCCTCGCCACACCGCGCAGCCCCCCGCACCACGCCGCCCTGCAACACGCCGCGCATCACCGCATTTTTTGAGTCCCATAAAAATAAACACCAAAATATCAAAATTTTCACCAGGTCCGTCACGCACCGCCACCATTTGCATTCACCATTGTGAAAGCAATAGGCCCTTACCCCGTTCGGGGCTCGGGTCTAATTTATTGTGAGAAGACACCTTTTTAACTGTATTAAAACAATATGAAATAAATAGATGTTTATTTCAAAACCTACAAAATCAACATAACAGACAGATATACAAGTGCATGGTTTGAAAAGGAGGTGGATGAAGCAAACGCTTATAGAATTCCAGCCCCCTCACACATTCACACATTCACCACAAAGTACAGTACAAGAACCGTATACATACAAGGTAACCCTGGTTCAGTTCACGTCTGTTGAAAAAGATGTGTGAAAAATGTGGTATCGACTGCTCTCATTCAAATCTATAGAAATCTGAAGAAAAAAAGAATTTTAATAAAATATGGTAAAAAATTTAGTAATTTATATGTTGTTTTTTTACCTTCTGTGTGTTGCTATGGTAACTAGGACTTACTCTACTCTGGCGGATAACTAAATTGACTCGGCCCAGAATTAGGACCAGTTCAGGACCAGTATCTTGAAAAACAGGTTTTAAGGTAGAACTACTCACTTTACAAAAATATAATGTCATGAAAATTTAACATAGACAAACTAAATATAGATAGAGAAAAAGTCAAAGTGAAGACCAAAGACCAAAAACATGAGCCTTATACTTAGTGTTAAAGTAAACTATACTAAACAAATTATCATTATTTGCTTTTAGAAATTATTATATTACACGTATATTGATACATATCATATTTATTATTAATATACATCACTGAATGTACTTACAATACAAATATTGTGCATCAAAACAACGTGAGGAAAGGTGTCACTGTTACTGTTGGTATAAAGTGATTTTTAAAACTCTTAAAGTGCATTTTCAATTAACGGCTGTAGAAGTGAAATATGAACAAGAACATTTAGAAAACTGGTGCTTTGGACGATAGTAAACTCAAATTTGTGAAAGTTGTTGTGAGGTAATAAAACAGAAAAAGTTACAATTTAAATACAATAAAAAATAACATACATATTTAAAATCATGACTTAAACTCAGCTATACCCAATACTGTTTTGTGTGCATGACTGGCCTGGGATGCTTCTGTCTGGGAATATGGTTTTGTTTGACGTAACACGGGTCGTAGTAGTCCCACTCCAAGGCAGACGCAAGGACGCCGTTGGACAGACCGTCACTGTCTGCAGAGAGGATCCTCAGAGACACACCTGAGGATACAGACAAAACATTTACTAACTGCAGCATGGACAAAACTAGTCTGAAAAAATTACATATATATTCTTAATTTTATATATGTGGGCTGTAGCAAGAAGCTTAAGAACAACCCCACCCCCGAACTCAATCAAAATTATATAATACAGAATAAGGAGAAACTACAAATGCACATCCAGGAGGAGAGAACAGTCAAACATTTAAAACAGAATAAAGAATAGATCCTACAATTAGTAATGTCTTATTGAGATTAGCCTCACCAACCAGAGAGAGACAAGTGAGTGACCAGAGAGAGACCAGAGAGAGACAGGTGAGTGACCAGAGAGAGCAGAGAGAGATCAGAGAGAGAGAGACTAGTGAGAAAGCAGGGATAGACCAGAGAGTGAGACCAGAGAGTGAGACCAGAGAGTGAGACCGAGAGAAACCAGAAAGATAAAGAGACCAGAGAGAGATAGAACAGATAGAGAAACCAGAGAGATCCCAGAGAGAGAGAAACCATAGAGAGAAAGAGGCTCTCTATGGAGGCCACAGAGCAGAGAGAGAAAGAAACCAGAAAGATAAAGACACCAGATAGAGAGACAGAGAAAGAGACCAGACAGATACCAGAGAGAAACCAGAGAGCGAGAGACCAGCGAGACCAGAGAGGGAGACCAGAGAGGGAGACAAGAGAGGGAGACCAGAGAGGGAGACCAGAGAGGGAGACAAGAGAGGGAGACCAGAGAGGGAGACCAGAGAGGGAGACCAGAGAGCGAGACCAGAGAGCGAGAGACCAGAGAAGAGGCTGAGGCTACAACAACAGTCTTTTTAAAGTCAGATCTCCACAAAGCAAGTAACAAAATGTAACTGTATAAATTATTTTAGAATATATACTGACGCCAACAGTGAAAAGGATTAATGACAACCTGCACTGGCTCCGAAGTCACTGTCCAGTCCTGACCCCACTGCGGACGTGAGGATACAGGAGACTTCAGAGAGAGAGTTTGAAAGCTCAGAGTTCATTTTGTCGAATAGATGAACGGCAGCAGCGGTGTTCTGGTCGATCCGTGTGTTGTAGGGGCTGCTGCTGCAAAGGTGGTCTTCATTCACAAAGTCCTGCTGAGAGCAAAAGAGGGGTGTTTGGGAATAGAACCTCTGCCCCCAAGTGGACGTGCTCCCATAGGGTTCATGACAAATGCACTATACCTCAGACACATGCATTTGTACACAAGAAAGGGAAGGCGAAATGGGGACAAAGAGGGTGGATGGAATAAACTAATGACACAGAGAGAGACAGAGGCAGACAGACCAAGAGACACAGACAGAAAAAGAGAGACCGAGAGAGAGAGACAGATAGACAGTGAGAGAGAGACAGAGAGTGAGAGAGAGGCAAGGCAAGTTTATTTGTATAGCACAATTCATACACAAGGCAACTCAAAGTGCTGAACAAAATAAGAAAGCATTAAAATCATAAATAATCACAGAACATTAAAAAGAAAGAAAGAAATAAGAAAATATAAAATCCCTCAGTTGTATGCACAGCTAAACAGAACTGTCTTTAAACATTGTCATTAAGGAGGCCTGTCTCACATCTTCAGGAAGATTGTTCCAGATTTTAGCAGCATGAATCTGAAAAGCAGCCTCCCCATGTTTAATTCTGACTCTGGGCACTAACAGGAGTCCAGTCCCTGTGCTCCTCAGAGTCCCAGCAGGAGTCCAGTCCCTGTGCTCCTCAGAGTCCGGGCTGGTTCATATGGGACTAACATGTCACTAATATATTTTGGTGCGAGGCCATGGAGAGACTTGTAACAAGCAGAGCTGTTTTAAAGTCTATTCTCTGAGCCACAGGAAGCCAGTGCAGAGACCTGAGGACTGGACTAATGTGATCGTACTTCCTGGTTCTAGACTCAAGCTGCTGCATTTTGAATGTACTGCAGCTGTTTTACAGCCTGTTTGGACAGACCTGTGAGCAGGCCATTGCAGTAGTCTAACCTACTGGAGACAAAGAGAGAGAGAGATAGCGACAGACAGACATTGAGAGAGAGAGAGATGCAGAGAGACAGAGAAAAAGAAAGGCCGAGAGACTGAGAGAGAAATAGAGACACGTGCACACGCCTTATTGTATTAGTTTGTCTGCACTTGTTTTGTATTTCTGTATCTTCACCAATAATAATAATAAAAACAGTTTCTTGTTTTGTTAAGCAGTTGAGTTTCCTTGTATAAACTGCTATACAAATAAACTTGCTTTGCCTTTTATTTCAACGTTACACGCTTCTGCCCTGGGGCACACTGACAGAAGTGAGGCAACTAGTATGTGCAATCGGCCCCTCCCACCACCACCAAGCATTCACACACACACTGCAGAATCTCTCTGGGCAATGTGGGTGAAGTGTCTTGCCTATAAGTAAACAAGAACAGTTTGACACTTTTACAGCCATAGTAAAGTGTACCACTGTGTCACCTGGTGTTCCCAAAGGTCTCCCATCACAAAACCTACCACAACCTGCCCTGCTTAGCTTGAGAGGTCTAACGGGATCTGGCTATTTTATGAATTATAAAAAGGTACATAGAAGGATTTTCCCAAATTTGAGGAAAACTTTCTGGTCTTATTGCACGTATCACCAGAATGATTGACAATGGGGAGGACCAATAGTATTGATGATCCACCCGGAACCTTTAACACATGATACGACCATACTGAGGCAAAACGCCCCTCTAAACGAGAAAAATATGGCTAAAATATGTCACTGACCATGGGGGAGTTCGGCGGAACCATGTGGACTCTTATGGTCTCGGGTTCAGAGTCGCTGGAGGGCCGCTGCAGGAGAGGCGCGCTCTGACTGTACACAGCGAGGCCCCTGTGGTCGAGGCGGGACGTGGCCCTGATGGTACTGGGGGCCCTCAGAGAACCAGACCCAGTGGCGCCGTCGGGTCTCAGCAGCCGGATCCTGTGCTCCAAACCCGGCTTCTCTTTGGACGAGGCCCGGGAGGAGGTGACCGGGTGAGGCAGGACGGGCTCCGACAGAGACATGTAGGCTCTTCGGGGCAACGGGGGGAAGACCTGGTCTGACCCTCGGCTCATGTGGAGGAGGGACTGGAGACGCATCCCCTCCACGTCCTCCAGCCTGCTACTCTTTTTAGACAATATCAACAATTTATATCCCAGAAACAGACAGTTCAGCAGCAGCAGGATGACCACGCAGGGGATCAGCAGCAGGACCACCAGAGTCAGGCTGGACACCGGGTAGCCCTCGGTCAGGTTTGATGGTGTGGTCTGGTGAACTTGCGACATTTCATCTCAGAAGACATAGATATTGAAATGTAGGGAACACGCTGATCTCGTGTGTGCGTGAGTTTGCGTGAGTTTTGCGTGTCCGTGCGCAGGTGGCCCCGGTGGGACAATTAGCGGCCGGGTTGTGCGCGTTTTTCAGGTTCAGGGTCTACACAAAGACAACGTGAGGAGTCCGCGTCTGAAGAGTCTGCAGTCTGTGCTCAAGACCAGATAGAGCGAGTTTATTATAATCCCGTCCTGTCTTCCTGCATAACTTTTCAATGCTTCACTCCCATGCACCGCTAGGGGGCAGCAATGGACTAACTACTAGGGTTGCAAAATGCCTGGAATGTTCAAAGATGGAACAGAGAGAATGGGAATACACTGGAATTAACTGGGAACTTTCAAAATTGAAGGTTGGCTCTTCATAGGGAATTTAAGTATTGTAGAGGAAAGTATATTTTTGCATAATCTTGACTAAAACAAACAGAAGCCTTTCAAATACACTTTAAAGTCCATGTCATTTCTCTATCACAGGCACACAGCACTGCTTTCTGTGGCTACCGAGACCACGCCCCCTACTGGCCCTGCGCCTCCATCACATGTACAGAGGATTTATAGAAGACTGGACCAGACTTTTGAGGTCAAAGCACGAGACTGTTTCATTCACAAGCTCAAATGTGTCTTCAAGAAATGAGATGCAAGCTTTGATGATGTTATGGGAAAGTTTTTGAAATAAATCTGTTGAAAACATTTTCTTGGATGTTTTAACTTTTGAGGATTGTTTGAATTCTGTTTATATTTATGTTTCGATATGATGTAATCTAAGTACTTTACAATTAATTCCCAGCTATGGAATATTCCTGAAAATCCCCAATTTAACTTCCAATTGAAATTTACCAGAAACTTTCCAGACATTATCCATCCTTCCGAGCTGTGGAAACATTTCTCAGTCTCTACAAATGTATGTTTCTCTGCAGTTTGACAAACTAACAAATCCAAAACATGTTTCTTTAAATGTATATTTATTTCACATTGTACATAGTTTATAAGCTACTGTTTACAAGTCTCACATTGTAGGAATGCATTGATGGGAAGCTTATTACAGAAACTATACACACCTCTCAATTCAATAGAACATTTCACATGTGAATCTCTCTTAGAGACAGTATTATTATTTTTGTATACAAAGTAAATCTTTGTACACAACTTTATTTTAAGATAGTCATATGAAACCATATAACCAATGCAAGTTGTTTCCGCCCTTCATGGTTTACAAAAGTCTACACAGACTTGAATAACACAGGCTTATTCTGTGATGTACTGTATAACAGCACAAATAACCATCAGTCGTCTGCAGGCGGGAGGCCACAGATGCCTCCACTAAACATTCTCTCTGAAGCTTAGTCTGCAGCATTCTGCTGTTCGCTTTCCAATCACAACGACAGATTGTGAAGGGTTACAAGACGAGCACCTGTATAAGGCTTTGAATTGTCAACAATGCACACGTGGTGACCCTGGGAAAGCAGAATTAGCATTTGGCCAAGCTGTGTTTGATGATCTCTCTGGACTGAGGTGGGATCCTGTCCGGAAACAGCACCTGGAACTCCACCACCAAGTCTCCTTTTTGTGACGGGCTCTTGGGCAGAGGCAGCCCCTCGCCACGGAGCCGTCTCGTGGCCCCAGGTTTGATAATGTCACTGCAGGGTAAAGGCATCATTCGGCTGTCAAGGGTAGGCACGTTGATGGTACAGCCACACAACGCCTGCGGAGCACAAAGAGAACGAGAAGTTAGACACAAGCTCAATGATCATTCAAGAAATATACATGCATAAATCAGGCTAAATCCCTCCTAAATCTACTCTATCATTTTATTTTTTGTACAGCCCTAAATCACAACAGTCGTTATCTCGTACGACTTTACAAAACCGTTAAATTTGCCAACACAGATCGGAGAATCAAGCAGTTCAAACACAAGAAATGCAGTGATTAATAGTGAACACATAGAGTCATTGGTCCATAAGGGAGAGAATATCAATGCCCATACATGTTCTTCAAAATTCATAAATGTCATTGGGTTTCCTGGATTCCACCACTACATCGTCTAAATCACAGTTACGCAACATCCGTATATGGCTCTGCTTCGTTGAAAAGATGCAACTACGTCTGTGTTATGCAAGAGAACGGTGTTACTGCTGTTGTAATTGTGCCTATAAGCGTGGGAGTCGAGTACTTTGTCAAAGCCGCAGCCAACCAACGCCAGAGGGCCTCCTTGAAATGGCACCCTCTGAGTGCTGTGCTGTGCGTGGGATTGTGTTTGAGAGAGAGATTTTTGGCAGGTTTCTTTTTCTGGCTTTCTCTCTCTCCATCTCTGCATCTCTCCTTCTAGCCTTTATCGCCTGAACTGTAACAAGCAGGGGTGTCTGTAGCCAATGGTGGAGAGGCAGCAGAAGTCCAGCGACGGGGGTTGTGAGCTGCAGGGTTAAATTTAGCTCATGCCTCACTTGCTCTATGCGGCGTTTATGAGGTGATTCTGCGTTGTTGTGTGTGGGTGTGTGTGTGTGTGTGTGTGTGTGTGTGTGTGTGTGTGTGTGTGCTAATTCTACTAACATGTATGGACATTGGTTATCCATCCCTTATGCACCAAGGCTCTACACATTTTATTATTATTATTATTATTTTTTAATCATTGCATTCCCTGTGATTGGACTGTTTGATTCTCTAATCCGTGTTGGCGAACACTCCGAGATTGGGTTAACTATTAATTTATCTCGTGTTGTTTGGTTCTTCATTCCTATTGTTCTGTACACTGCGAAAAATGATCAAATTTGAGGTAATAATTGCTTGAATTGAGTGGTTTTTATATATATACCAATTGGACAAAGCCATTTAGTCTTAATATACAATTTTACTTCATCCCATTGGCAATTCTTGTCTTAAGCAAAATGTGCTCAAAAAAAGATTCATTTAGCCAATTTTTTAAAACAAAATTTTCATTACATTTTGCAGTGCAACTGGTCATGCAACACTGAAATTCCCCCACTATGGGACGAATAAATAATTTCTTAATCTTAATCTATTCTGATGTGATTTAGGGCTACACAAAACACATTGAATTGAAATAAAAGCAAATCCCTGTTGTTTCTTGGTCTTAGCACACTCCTCTCACCTCTTTTAAGGTGATCTTGGCGGTGTAGACGATATTGGCGCCCTCTCTCCTGTACTGCGGGTGCTCCTCGTCTTTCAGAACGAACGTGACGTCGGCGGGGCCCTTGTTCTGCGTCTCGTCGCCTTCTCGGGGGAACGTGATCTTGGTGCCCGCCCTCCAGCCTTTCTTCACCACCACGTTGAGCACCTTGTCCTCCGACCGCAGGCTGCAGCCGTCGGGATTGAGGCGTTTGCGGGTGATCTTCACGTGTTTGGTGCAGCCCTGCAGGACCTCCTCTAACGTGACCGGCAGCTCGTGGACCGCGGACGGTTGGTGGCGGCTGTGGGGGAAGCGTCTGAAGGGTTTGAAGAGTTCGTCGTCGTCCTGGCCGAAGAAGATGTCGAAGTGTTCGTAGCCGTGGGAGAAGGAATCGGTGGGGACATTACTGCGGAAGAGGTTGCCGTGACTGGTCAATGTCACGCCATTCTTGAGACCTTTAAGAGAGAGACGAGAAGATTAGCCTGAAAAATGGACAATATTTCTAAATATGCTAGTAACAAAAGTGGCACTAGTCTGTTGCAAGGTTTTTCCCATGTGGTTTTACTGCAATTGGTAAATACATTCTTGAATTGTCAATCTTGTATACAGTCATAAGACAAGATGAGAACTTTATTGATCTCACAATGGAGAAAAGTGTCTATATTCAGTCATTACTCAATGGTATACTAAAAAATGCATGTGTTTTTCTCTGGTCTAATATTTGTGATTAAACTGCAATTAATTTTGATTCATTAATTACAAAGCCTCTAATAAGTCAGATTTTTAAATAGTCCTGGCTCTCATTCAGACACAAGAAATATGATGATAAACTTTCATATGATTCTCACCTTCTTCTCCGAACTGGTCGTAGATGGCCCTCTTCTTGGGGTCTGTCAGGATCTCGTACGCCTCTGCGATCTCTTTGAACTTGTCTTCGGCCTCAGCGTCACTGTTCTTGTCGGGGTGAAACTTCAGAGCCAGTTTCCTGTAGGCCTTTTTGATCTCGTCCTCGTTGGATTCAGGAGACACTCCCAGCACTTTGTAGAAGTCTTTGCCGGAGGGTTTGACGGGCACGGTTTCTTGCTCAGACTTGACACTTTCCTGCAGAAATACAAACGTGTAAATGTTATAAATATAGGTTATACTCAAGGTTCAATAATGCATTTCATTTATACTGAATTTCTGCTCATTTATTGTATTGTGTATTCAATCGTGTGTCTCTGTGTTTTTTATGGATCCCACTGGTGTCCGTCAAGTTCCTCACAGTTATTTGAATTGAATTGAATTTGATTTTTCTAATTTTCTCATGCAATAGACACGTTGAGCAGACTGTAGGAATCAGAAATGTTGTCCCATGTTATCTACATTAATTGCGTTTGTTGTTTAAAGCTGGGGTACCTATAGGTTTCTATCCACAAAAATACTTGCTATAAAACCAATTATAAGTTCCATGCTCAAAGACAGTTTGATTCTATTGCTAGTTTTCTCATGCATGCATCTATAGCTTCTCTCACATCTATAGATCAGCTTTTTATGAACAGAAAAGCAAAAACGAGAGGACCATCAATCACCTCCAGCCCCAAATCGTCAAATAGTGACTCCCAGGGCTACAGATAATGATTTTATTTTAAGATAAAGCAGGTCTGATTTGTTCACATGCTACGTCTACAGTGCTCTTCCTGTTGAGGCAAATGAAAAGGTATCATATAAGGACAAAAACTTAGATCCCCCAGCTTTAAGATAGATATGATAGGATGAAGCGGCAAAGGAGACATCCCCTAACAACCGAGATCCAGCCCGCTGATTGGCTGAGCAATACATAGCGACATCAGCATCATCTCAGCAAGACATAGTTTTGAACCGGGTTTAGATATATACATTCTGTAACATTGATTCAAGAAATAAAGTAGTCGCAACAATCAAAAACAAAATATTTCTCATAAGTAACTGTTAAAAGCGAAGCAGGACTTACCGCTGAGGACGAGGACCCGGAGCTGTCACCGCGATGCATCACCTTCACTTTGCATTTAACATTGACATTTTTGTTTTTCACTCCGAACTGTGTCCAAATGAGAACCATAGTGGCTTGCTGTGAGATTGGCGCTGTCCGTCTGGTTGTGGTGCTGAAATACTGCCGCTGTCTTGTTTCAGATTCCCTGCCCGGCTCTGGCTTTTATACCGCAGCTCTACTACACTCTCCACTCCCCCCTCCCACTCCCGGTGACAGAGATTTCCCCTCGCCCGCCTCCTCTCTCCAGCGCACGGCAGGGAACACCGGCTACGGAGAGCTGCGATTGGCCCAGAGACGATGATGGCGCGGATGTTGCAGCCTCCATCTCCATCTCTAGGCTCGTTTCCGGAGATTCTTGAAGGCAGCTCGATCAGACAGTCACGACTCGGTGCAGACAGAGCTCTCTCCCGGTGCATGAACGGCAGACAGCGATAAGGAGGTTGTCTTTTGTGTGTGTGTGCTCAGACAGACCCATGAGCGCTGCTGTAAATAAATATAGAAAATGATCTGGTTCATGCATTTTATATAATTCTCATGAAAGCTTAATGCAAGGAAAATCGGTTCTTGTCCTCGATCTGGGCATCTAACATCACATCTGGTTTTGTTAAGCACATGTAAATGAACTGTGCTATACAATTAAACTTGCCTTGCCCTGTGTTGCATCACACCTAGAATATGAGGTAATTGAGTATCTAATCTTATGCAATCCATACATGTGTAAGACAGGGCTAACATGTTAAACTGCAGCTTAGTTCAGCTCTGAAATACTGTGTAACCCAATTCCATTTTTGTTTCTTCAAAGTGATAATTACTGAATCTAAATCTACTCTTTACCCTTTAATATATTACCGTATGAACCATATTTGTGTAAAAAAACAAGTATGAAGTAGGTAAGTAAGTATTGAACACAGTCTCCTCTAAAAAGATTTAAGGACTTTTATTGTTTTATGTTTCTGTTTCTAGTGTGTTGTCTATTTTTTGTTCTATCTATCTATCTATCTTTTGTTCTATCTATCTATCTATCTATCTACTGTATCTATCTATCTACTGTATCTATCTACTGTATCTATCTATCTATCTGTCTATCTACTGTATCTATCTATCTATCTATCTACTGTATCTATCTATCTACTGTATCTATCTACTGTATCTATCTATCTATCTGTCTATCTACTGTATCTATCTATCTATCTATCTACTGTATCTATCTATCTATCTACTGTATCTATCTATCTACTGTATCTATCTATCTATCTATCTATTTATCTACTGTATCTATCTATCTATCTATCTATCTACTGTATCTATCAATCTATCTATATCTATCTATCTACTGTATCTCTACTGTATCTATCTATCTATCTATCTATCTATCTATCTATCTATCTATCTATCTATCTATCTTCTTTCCTACCATCCATCTATCTATCTATCTATCTATATATCTACCTATCTACCTACCCGTCCGTCCATCCATCCATCTATCTAATGCAGAGAAGAGTGGGAGTGTGGCTGAGGTCTGTCCTGAACTGAACCTGGAGCTGATTTGCCTGAAATAACCCTCGCTGCTGGTCTCTGAAGCCATAAACAAACTGACTAGTTTAAAATGTCCATGAATAATGTCCCATTCTTTAAGTGAATTAACCACATATCGATTACCTGCTTGGACCCCGTTCTATTTCCCAATGTTTCCAAGTAAAATACAAACAAAAATGTATTGATTTGGTTTGTATTTGTGCCTTTTCCTGACTTAAAGCCCAAGGAAGGATAAGGAAGTAGGTATTTTTAGTTGACTTTAATTGAATACAGCCCTGGATTTAGGATTTTGAATTGGGCAAATTGTGTTTTCAACAATGTTTTGTTTGATTGACTGTAAAGACATTTATGATCACATTTGATTAAAAAAAAAGACACGATATAAACGGTGGAAATGTCAGTTTTCTTGGAACGACACCCACTCTCCCTCACCCACCCTCACCCACCCTCACCCCTCTCTTCTCACAGTGCATTCAAGGTAAACGCAGCAGTCCTGAAATAAACTGCAGTCGGCTGCTGTGTGATACGGTAAAGACGGATGTATTTTTATGGACTTTTAAATACATAAAATACATGAAATAAATCAGATTTTTAACTAGTCCTGGCTCTCATTCAAACACAAGAAATACATTGATACATTTTCATATCGTTCTCACCTAAAATGTTTGAAAATCCATCCATCCATTTTCTTCCCCTTAATCCATTTCTGGATCGGGGGGGTGGCCAGGGATGCCACCCAGTACACACAGCACCAGCCCCCTGTTCGAAAAGATGAGTCAGTAGTTAACAATTAAGATGTTACTGGGGAGATCATTCCATTTACAAAGAGCATAATGGGAGAAAGCCGCTTCTCCTGCTTGTAGTTTTGGATAGGGAACAGTAAGAGGGGTGAGGTCTGAGGATCTTCGAAGTAAATACCAAATATACTATTGACTTGTCATATTGTCAGATTTGTTGCATAAAGGTACTACTTTGTCTTGAATGCGCTACTATTTGAACTAAAATTGAACTTGAAACGCAGCACTGCAAAAAATAAAACATCTTTTGAATTTTTTTCTCATTCTAAGGGAGACTTTTCTTGTATTTTTTAAAACGATCATTTTGCTTTGTCCCATTGGGGAATCTTGTTTGAAGGCAGTCAAAATGTGCTCAAATTAAGACACATTTAGCCAAGTAGTAAGTAATCTTCATCTATATAGTGCCTTTCTCAGACCAGAGTCACAAAGCGGATTACAATTGTGGGCATTTGTCTCTCACTCCACACAGAGATGGGGGCGGGGCCAGTACATGCTTTTAGTGGTAGGGGAAACCGGAGTACCTGGAGGAAACCTACACAGACACGGGTAGAACATGCAAACTCCTCTCAAAAAGGCCCTGTTCTGGCCGGGATTTACGGGCCACAATGCTGCCCTTTTGCAGTGTGTACTTGGTAAGAACTACTAAAGCTGGAAGATTTGACCCATTTCTTGGCATACCTTGTACACAACAGCTTATTGTGTACATATATAATCTACCTTGGACAGCGACTCGAAAGGAAACAGCCGGTCCAGTCGTCATGAAAAGTAATAATAATAATAATAATGCATCGGTTTTTTTGTATAAAGCAGAAACCCACTGTGGCCTTTATGTTTACTTACTGTATGTCCAAGGTTTGTCTCATGCACCAGTCCTACATAACGGTGTGATGTTATGAATCATGTCAGAGCGAGTTAGATCAGTTATGTAAACGCCATTTAGACCAAGCCAAGACATCGCTGCTTTCAAATCCAGGACGGCTTTTGTGTGGAACTGATTTGGTGTTTTTTTCTTCTTCTCACTTACTCCCCCACATTTCTGCAGGGAGCATAGTACTGGAGACATAACAGCTGTGGACCGATGGAGAACATTCAAGTTATATAATTGAATGTGTTGAGATGTGTGAGTGCAAGGTGTTTTTCAAAAGAGCAGACGTTATGTAACTGCTTGGTGGCTGAGTGGTTAGCAGTCTCGCTTCTCGGCAAGAAGGGTCTGGGGTTGGATCCTGGTGTGGACAAGTCTCTCCAAGGCCTCGCACCAAAGTACATCTGTGACGTGTTGGTGCCATATGAACCAAGGAGGTCTCTGAAGAGAACAGGGACTAGCCTCCTGCTGGGACTAAGGAGCACAGGGACTGGTCTTCTGCTAGTGACTCTGAGGAGCACAGGGATGGGCCTTGTGCTGGGACTCTGAGGAGCACATGGGACTGGCCTCGTGCTGGAACTCTGAGGAGCACAGGGACTGGTCTTCTGCTGGGACTCTGAGGAGCACAGGGACTGGTCTTCTGCTGGGACTCTGAGGAGCACAGGGACTGGTCTTCTGCTAGTGACTCTGAGGAGCACAGGGACTGGCCTCGTGCTGGGACTCTGAGGAGCACAGGGACTGGTCTTCTGGTAGTGACTCTGAGGAGCACAGGGACTGGTCTTCTGCTAGTGACTCTGAGGAGCACAAGGACTGGCCTCGTGCTGGGACTCTGAGGAGCACAGGGACTGGTCTTCTGCTAGTGACTCTGAGGAGCACAGGGACTGGTCTTCTGCTAGTGACTCTGAGGAGCACAGGGACTGGCCTCGTGATGGGACTCTGAGGAACACAGGGACTGGTCTTCTGCTAGTGACCCTGAGGAGCACAGGGACTGGCCTCGTGCTGGGACTCTGAGGAGCACAGGGACTGGTCTTCTGCTGGAACTCTGAGGAGCACAGGGACTGGTCTTCTGCTGGGACTCTGAGGAGCACAGGGACTGGCCTCCTGCTGGGACTCTGAGGAGCACAGGGACTGGCCTCTTCAGCTGGGAATCTGAGGCGCACAGGGACTGGCCTCCTACTGGGACTCTGGGGAGCACAGGGACTGGCCTCATGCTGGGACTCTGAGGAGCACAGGGACTGGTCTTCTGCTAGTGACTCTGAGGAGCACAGGGACTGGCCTCGTGCTGGGACTCTGAGGAGCACAGGGACTGGTCTTCTGCTGGAACTCTGAGGAGCACAAGGACTGGTCTTCTGCTGGGACTCTGAGGAGCACAGGGACTGGCCTCCTGCTGGGACTCTGAGGAGCACAGGGACTGGCCCCTTCAGCTGGGAATCTGAGGCGCACAGGGACTGGCCTCCTACATGGACTCTGAGGAGCACAGGGACTGGCCTCATGCTGGGACTTTGAGGAGCACAGGGACTGGCCTCGTGCTGGGACTCTGAGGAGCACAGGGATGGGCCTTGTGCTGGGACTCTGAGGAGCACAGGGACTGGCCTTGTGCTGGGGACTCTGAGGAGCACAGGGACTGGTCTTCTGCTGGAACTCTGAGGAGCACAGGGACTGGTCTTCTGCTGGGACTCTGAGGAGCACAGGGACTGGTCTTCTGCTAGTGACTCTGAGGAGCACAGGGACTGGCCTCGTGCTGGGACTCTGAGGAGCACAGGGACTGGTCTTCTGGTAGTGACTCTGAGGAGCACAGGGACTGGTCTTCTGCTAGTGACTCTGAGGAGCACAAGGACTGGCCTCGTGCTGGGACTCTGAGGAGCACAGGGACTGGTCTTCTGCTAGTGACTCTGAGGAGCACAGGGACTGGTCTTCTGCTAATGACTCTGAGGAGCACAGGGACTGGCCTCGTGATGGGACTCTGAGGAGCACAGGGACTGGTCTTCTGCTAGTGACCCTGAGGAGCACAGGGACTGGCCTCGTGCTGGGACTCTGAGGAGCACAGGGACTGGTCTTCTGCTGGAACTCTGAGGAGCACAGGGACTGGCCCCTTCAGCTGGGAATCTGAGGCGCACAGGGACTGGCCTCCTACTGGGACTCTGGGGAGCACAGGGACTGGCCTCATGCTGGGACTTTGAGGAGCACAGGGACTGGTCTCGTGCTGGGACTCTGAGGAGCA